CACATTTATTTAGTATACAGATAATATATATATATATATATATATATATATATATATATTACAATTTAATTTCTTGTACGCATTTAGGAGAAAAGTGCATGGTCTAATTCACTCAAAAAGTGACCCTTTTCGGTGTTTGAAAACGTCTTTCGAATAGTATTCGATTTAAGATATGTTGTACGTGCGCTCAGAGTTTTATATCTGCATGCTGTGTGAATTTCACCTTGGAGCAAAAGAAGCATAGTTGTGTGCCTCATAAGACCGAAATCACATGGTGCTCATAAATGTTTGTATTTAGTGCGGACCATGCGATGTACCTTAAATACAAAATTGATAAAGGAACATATTCTTAGCATTATTAGCAGACGTTGCACCTTCTTTAAACATGTCATACTTTTGAACATTCGAAAGCCGAAGAAGACATTTTGGTCGCAGAGGGGTATATGACGGAATATTATAGTACTTGCTTCCTATAAAGTACTTAAATCTTACGCAACCCTCCGCTAGTGCGTGTCTTGCAAACGCCCGTGACGAAGTTCGTTTTAAAGCCAGTTTCCTTACGTGACTGAAACATTTTGCGATTAGACTGCACCTTAATAAATATAACTACCATAAGTATGTTTTTTTTAAATCCACGACAAGACGGTATATCTAGTATCGTTTTTACCTGAACACAGTAACTCGAGACATTAGAGATAAGCTGAGATAAGCTATAGCCGACTAAAGGGGTATAAACAGTTCCATTCTAGCGCACCTGGTAGTCTCAGACCATTGCGTGGATGCCAAAGAGGCCTACTGAGTGATCTAAAAGGTACCTTCAAGCTTCTCAAAATTTCTTGGACAGCGTCTGTTGGCTACAGCAAATGCGGCCACGATCAGGCTACGCCGACCGGTCCTTTGCGCTCAAAATAATTTCGTCGCAGCGCCGCAGTTACCATGGTCAAAAGCTGCTAATCCATTAGCCAGCAGCTTAGCACCTCAACCGACTACCAGCTCCCCCAAACGCTGATCAAATTTTGACCCCGATTCCCCCTCCCCTGAAAACCGTACTCTTTTTCTACCATCCCACATAGTTTATTTACTTAATAACCATATAAATGTAAAGGTCTGACGAGAATTTATCGAAAACAAACGCACGTTCATCCATTCATCTTTTGAAAGTGTTAATGGGAATTTTCGCAAATTTAATATATTTATCTAATATTTAACAATTTACCCATCTACGAAATATTTAAATTATTAAAAATAGCTGGTATGTACTTGAAGATAGGATGCCGTCTGTTGTTTTAGCTGTTTTACTTAGGAGAGTGTAGTGATATGCTTTGGGTCACTGTGTTCTCTCCTTTTACATCTAGGCAACGGCTAACCCCAATGCGGTAAATAACACCCTTGCTGGTCCTCTTGATGCTTTTGAGACAGCCCTCCTTGGGTCCGTCAGTAAGATCGGAATGGAGGCCTTCGCCAGCATGACGCAAAGTCTCCTGCCATGTGACAGTCTGCACTACGCTATCAAGTCGGTGGTATTCATGGGTTGCGGGGCCTCGGGCCTGGCTCCCCGCATCTTTGCCTGGGGTCTCTTCCTCTCCCTCTGCCTCTTCTTCACCTTTTTCAGCCTCCTCAGCCTGTGTCTGCTGTGGCGCGTGCAAAACCACCAGGCCAGGCGTTTCGCTATCTAAATATAACCACTCTCCGGAGTAGCATAGGTGACAATGTTTTACTTTTATTTGATAATTATGCCGGAACTATACTCTGTTCGTCTTTCGGACCAGTCTGGTCAAAGTGGCATTCATACGACAATCTCACATATGTCTTGCAGTCATTTCTTGCAGTTTACATTTTGCAGTCAAAACTCCGTAAACCCCTCTTGTTTACTGTCCTTTTTATTCTTGTTTATCCGGACACCAACGATAAATAATACCTTGATTTTTCTTCTAAGTAAAATATTTTTTATCCAAGGATTAACTTGCCTTAATATGCACAGCCACCATTGCTTGTCTGTGTGCATATCCAAGCTAATTATGCAGGTGCCGACAAACGCTGTGAAATGAAATATGTATCACTGGTACAATTACGTATTTGATTTTTGATTTTTGCATCGCAACACCGAAATTCAAAAAAAAACTCAGTTAAGAACACTATACGCCAAACATGTTTGGCACTTTGAAAACAAAAAAATAACTGGCGAGCCTTATTTAGTTTGCATTAATTTGCACAACACTTTTAAATAGTGTAATTGAAACTTCAGGGTGAAATTCACATTCTGCTTGAGACAACAAGGGCCTGTCAACGAGTGGTAGTAAGTAGAATAAGTACGAAAGCATGTTGCATCCATATACCCACACTTTCGGTCATTCCTCTCCTCTGGAATGACAACTTGGTCTTCTTCGACTCCGCAGTCGGTTGCCTATTTGTTAACTTTGCAACGCATTCGGAGATTGTATGCGTCGAGAAGAGAACAGATCGATGTGTGTCATTTCTTGGATGATTTGAACTCCATGCATGTCTTTTCTCACTGGACGTCCCTTTGTGAGAACAGTATAACCCTTGAACTGACGGATGGCATACCCTCACTAACTGTGTTCTCTCTGTTCACGTCTACATACTGGGTACAAGTAAATCGGTTGTACAAGCCCTTGATGACGTTTTCATCAATTTCATGGCAACCATCAGAGCTCTCCTCAAAGAAAAGTG